ACTAAGGATGATTTCTTTCCTGCCTTCCACGCCGCATTTAATATTGCAATGACAGAAAGCAATATCCGAGGAGGGTTCCGAGGGGCTGGGCTTCTTCCATTTGACCCAGAAAGTGTAATTTCTACACTTGATCTTAAGCTAAAGACGCCAACGCCTCCAAACTCCCCCCCGTATTCCGCTCAGCCTTGGGTTTCCCAGACACCAAATAACCCTACTGAAGCCTTATCACAGACTGCGTTTATTAAAGATCGAGTTTTACGCCACAAAAGTAGCTCTCCAACCCCTATTTACGAGGCCATTGACCAGTTTACGAAGGGTGCATCAAAAGTAATGCACCAGATAGTACTATTGAAAGCTGAGAACCAGAGACTTCGACAAGCAAATGAAGTACTAAGTAAGCGCCGTAGAGCTAAAAAAACCGCCTACAGCAAGGAGGATCACTTAGTCAACAGGAAGCGCAGGACCTACAGGATGATAGAGACGTTGGCGAGCAGGTAATGCAGGAAATAAAGAGAAGTAGTGGTCAGAAGCCGAGGGAAGAATCACGTGCACGGCGCTGTGGCAACTGCGGAGAGACTGGTCATAATACGCGCACCTGTAATATTATAGAGGAAGTATCTGAGGAAGAAATTTCTGAATAGTGTTTTTTAATCAGAGGCGTTGTGGTAGAGTTCTTACAATTTCAATCGCGAGTGTAGAAAATTTTGGCCGGTTCGCTTGTTTGGCCGGTTCGCTATACATGCACGTTATCAATTAAGAAGTAATTAAATCAATCTAACTTAGGTTTACCAGACACGATGAATTACGTAGCACCTTTGGACGTCTGTATTCTCGGCCAGCATTTGAGGCTAGAAATTCGGTATAATCAACTAGCTGTTACAGGTCTAGCGTTGTGATATAATGTTTTCATGGAAGCCGCATGTAATGGTCATAACTCTTCTAATCAAACTTCTCCACTACAACCCTTGACCAATTCAAGCAGAATGAAATGCTTGATATGCCTGGGTCAAAGATGACAAGTTTACGACATCACTAGTAGAACGAGTTATTGAGAAATGAGAAGTGAAGAATCTATTGCTAACAATTATTTGCGGTGCAGAATACCTATCGATGCTATGAGCCATAGGTACGAAGCTCAGAAGTAGGCTGCCCTAAAGCAAACTTCAGCCCGTAACATAAAATCTTCGCCTTGCTAAAAGAAATTTGCCCTAGGATCCTTGTTAGACTTGTTGTGTAAACGACAATGGTATTACAGATCGAGAGGGGAGTATGGACTTCCAGGAATTCTTGGATCCAGAAAGCGCGCCACTTTAGTGCCAAATTACGCCTCCGAAACTGGTATTATGCGTGAGCCGACTCACCGCTGCTGCGCTCGCGGTGCAGTGGGTTTTGCGGGCAGCCCATTCTGTTTGCCCATTCTGTTTGCTTTTTTGACTCATACCACAGCCTCATGATTTTCCAACTCATCGCCGCGTCCCCGGCATAGTGCTTCCATTACCTCTTTAATTCTCGAATCTTGAGCCTTCTAAAAGAGACCACGTACTTGTTACACGTACTTGTTACACGCGTGAAGCTATACCGTGGTTGTACAGGATCCTGCTCAGAACAGGCCCACCCGCCAAGGACCCGTCCAACAGTCCAATACTACAAACATAAAGACAAACCACTAAAATGCTCAAAACTGCACAAAGGGGTCTAAATGTTCACAAAGATTTCTGGCTACTTTTGCGAAGGGACTGTACTATCTCCATTGATCTAATCTATCTTTGGGGAAGGAGCGAACATCTTTCTGCCAGTTTCACAGATAAGCCAGACCTTGAGACTCTAGATACTCACAAACCATGGCATGATTATTTGAGTTGGCACATATATACGCGCTGCGATTACTTCTATCTCGAATATCGCCTTGTACGACATGCTCGCAGAGACATTGTACGACTGCCAAATGCCCATTTTCGGCTGCGTAATGTAATGGTGTCTCACCAAAATTATCTTGTGTGGTAGTATCCGACTGTGCTTCGAGGAGAACATTGACAATTGCTAATTTGCCCTCTTCAGCAGCTCTGTGAAGAGCAGTTTTGCCTAAATCGTCCACAATATGGACTAGTCCTGCATCTAGCAAGGCCCTGAGGTACTCTGCGTTCTCGGGTATAGTTGCGATGTCCAACAACTTTTTGTCCTTGGCTGTATACTTGATATATCTGAGTTGAAGCAGTCGCTTCAAAGCTGGCAAATTCTTCTGAAAAATGCAAATGTATAGAGAACATTCGACTGGAAGCTCCAAGGTCTCGAGAACAATCATATGGCGAGGCTCATGTGCTTTCGCACATCCTAAGCCTTTGAGATGGCAGATATTGCAGATTGTCACATCGCAAGCCTTACAGGCTCTGTAATCAGTGTTCACTATGGAGCAATCACAGGCACTGCAATGAGTGGTCGACTCATAGGGGTGGCTTGGCATGCCGGACTTGAGCGGGAGCCTCAGAGGAGTTTTGTCGAGCGTTGGAAGATCAAGCTGAAACTCGTTGTTTTCCTCCAACAATTTCCCCACAGTCTGATCCTCTTCTGGTTCTCTCCGCATATCTGCACCGAAAGGTGCTTGAGTGGAGTCTGAATTGATATTCCATGCTAAGCAGCACTGTCTATTGTGTGTCGTATCTTCCCGAGGGGTTTGCCAAACCCCTCGCACAGCCGCTTACAACAAAGAACCTGTTGTTGCGTGGAACTTTCTTGCTTCACTACAATGAAAGACACAGGCTCTTGTCGTAATTTGACTGAATCTGACAATGAGATAATTAGAGGTGTGAATATGTCTTCAGGGCTGTCGCAGTCAAAGACAGCGGTTAAGGGTCCATCAGGATCTGCATTCTCAAGTCGGCCAGCATAAATGCAGCCGTGCTTGAAAAAGCGGTTCAAGATCCAGAAGCATTCAATACCACTCCCATTGGCCTGGAAACAGTCTGAGGAAAGTGTGTCGTCAAAGCGAACTATCTCATTTTCGCCAACAACAGAAGTTTTTGGACCTATGTTAATCGTGGCAAAGCACTTGAACCAATCGTACATCACCATTACAAGATGGTGGTACTTGGTACTAGCATGCAGGCATCGAATCACTGACCACGTCGCCCAGATCGCAAGTTCCTCAATGTCGTCGCGTAGCTTCGCGTCAATATTACCATTGGAAACTTCCACCCTGAGAAAGATTGACTTCAGCCTGTCTCCTTCGCCTTTTGGAAACTTGAGGGTATTGAACAAGCTCAAAAGGCCGATCCTTTCCGTCATCGCCCAAATATTGCCCTCTGTTTCTAGACCCTTTTCCGTCAAAACATGTGTCTTGAGTTGGTAGGAAATACGATCGCTGGGATCTTCTGAAGCGAGAGAACAATCTCTGATCGACATGGAGAGAGGGAACCATTGGAAGCTTTCACAATCTCCTCCCACTTGTGTGTCATTCAAAGCTGATAACAAAGTGAGATCACCATTAAGGAGAGCAAGCGCAAAAACATTTGTGCTCATAGAACCCAACACTCCCGACGTTCTGAATGGATTGGGTATTCAATCGTTTTCCATATGTGCACAAATTGCCAAGAATAGTAATCCTGTCAGGAATTCTCGAGTTAGAGCGACCCTCAAGCCCCTGGAGAGCTTCGACAACGGAAACCAATGGCCGATATTGTGGATCGCGTATAGCTCGTTTTTGTTCCTCCCATGGCATTGGCTCTTGAAAATGTCCGATCAGGCGCCCGAACAGGGGACTATCTCCACTCAAAGTAGATTTGATAAAGCTTGAGGCTTTGTCTAGACGCGACTGAACTTGCTTAGAGACGGAGTGACCGCTGATTATCGGCCAATTCTCCAGATATCTGATTGCACGGATCAGTTCTCCAGGCAGGATGTCATATTCGCCAAGAATATTCAGGCTGTTGGTCAAATGATCTCCTCTGTCTCGAAAGGCACGGTGTAAAGCTGGATCACACTTCAACAAAAGAACCATACGTGAGCCGGCAGCAGCCACTTCCTGATATACCCAAGCCCGAGACATCCATTCGTCTCTTACGAGTCTTTCCAGGAGGTTAAGACTTCCAACAAACTGCTGAGCACTGAGCTCATCAAGGCGCAGCATGCTGTCCAGTATGTCCATATCTTCTTGGGTAGTGATAGTCACATCCAATAATCTAATTGAGGCCACAGCATGCTGATAAACCAGATCCATCGACTGTATTGCCGTCTCTTTCTCTTCCTGTTCGTTTTATCTTACGCATTCCTGATCGATCCACACAAAAGGAACTTTGCAATGTGCAGCAAAATGAATAGCACGGTCAAGGACCTCATCTGGTGCGGTGTTCTTCTCGCGCGACAAGGAGTCGGATATAATATTGTAACGGCCACCCTTGGGATCTGGACGGCGCCATCGATAAGAGACAGCTACATAATGGACGCATGATCCGTAGTCCCCGGGCTCTGTGATACGGATTTCTGACGAGCTTGAAATAGCGAACCGAGGTGCATTCTTGCAAAGACAAGTTGCATCGTCATCTGGTTGGGTATTGACGAATACATTTCTCCAATTTTGCTGCAAGGATGAAGTAACTTACGGGTTGTTGCTAATTGTCCGCTTCCTCCTTCCCAGTATTCTTTGAGGTCTCGATGAAGGCGATGGTGATGGAGCTCCCACAGAGCTCGGAATGCAGAGACAGAGGCTCCACTTAGTTATGCAGCTTTTCCGAGCAGGGGAAATGAACCATGAAGTAAATCAAAAGCTTGTCTTTTCCGTTCTTCAATGTCGTCTTTGTATCTTCTTGAGATAGCCCCGTCAGTACTCGACTCATCCACTTGGCGAAGCACAATATATGGACCATATACTGTTTTGAAGGCCAAACTGTCTCGGATTTCTGGATCGTATGAATATCGCTGCCGAGCAGTAAGAAGAAGTTTTGCGGTTTGAGCTCCAGGCTGTACAGACTGGTCGCTTTGCGCGTTGCCCGTTGTATCCTTCAAATCAGCCGGCTCGTTCGCAAGAGGCACAGCGGTAATGGTGCGTAAACGGCCAGAGTTCTTGTACAGTTCCGTTCTGTCCAAAACGTGGTTTTCAAGCTGCAATACATGATCTCGCATACGAGCTGCGGATGTATGAATTTGCTCGAACGTGCGATCAAAATCAAGGATGACAGGCTGTCTCTCTTCAATGGCTGAGGACTTGGTACCCCGTTCTGTAAAGTTGTGGACTTTGAAGATGCCATGGTTTTTTGGTTACCGAAAATATATTTCCAATTTTGTTACTTTCCACAGAGACGAGATGCATGAAAGATTTTCGGTGGAGGGGGCAGATGGCTCTGACTCTGACAAGACAGATGCTTGCTTTTGCCTAGGATCCGAGGCCTCAGCTCTTCCTTGTTTTCGTGGAATTTGTTTTTGGCTACACTGCGCTCTCGCTTGTGGTCATCGGAAGCAAGTTGTCACGTGGAAGCAAGTACAACGCGAACGCAAGTGTAACGTAATGGGTTAGGTGATAATGTTATAGGTATTTCTTTTAGATATAAGCTTCTATATAGGCTCAAAAGAAAGCCGTTAATCGGGTCTATAGTATAATTGCGTAAAGACTAAATGCGACTATAGCGTATTATACATAATAGATAATTAAGTAAAGTATATAAGGACGTAGTCGCGCACGCACTGACACGCGGAGTGCCTAGGAAAGTGAAATTACGTACGTATTCTAAATAAAATTAATTAAGGTATAGGAACACGTAAACTTGTCCGTATCGTACGTACTTCACATTAAAAAGACATACTCTTTTTATACAATATTAATGAATTATACTATTAAGTCTATGTTATTTATATGTCTTTTCGACTAGTGGATAGGGCGCTATGTCGTAGTTAAGAGCGATATATCTCTGCTGAATGTTCCACTTGCTTCCGCGTTATACTTGCTTCTACGTTACACTTTATTCTACTTGCCTCTCGGTGGACAAGATAAGTGGCAGACTTGAGCCACTTCTTTCGCCTGCGCCACACCAAACAAGTCAGCTTGTTTTAAAACACAGAATACGAAAAAGGGTGTGGCATAATACTGCAGCGCTAAAACAAGCTCTCCAAGACGAATGGCAGAAAGAATCTATAGAAGAAGGTGCGAAAATGTATTTCAGAAACGCCAGGCAGATGTGAATCACTAGTGATAACGGGTGGCAGCCCTATCAAATTGATATTGTGTGAAATATAAGTAGAAAAAGTCATTTTTTCATGTATTCAGGGAAATATCGGTGATCCCTGAAATCCTGGACAGGCTGACAGGCTGACAGGAGGGCACACCACAGGGCAGCGTTGAGAGCAAATATATATGGCCATCACAAAACAAACTTCAAGAGTCCTCTCTGACAGACTGCGCATTTCTAATCTGCTATGTCGCTCCCTTCTGATACCGACAAGTCGTGGAATTTCGATGTCTCGTCCTTTATGGTCCTCCTTGGTGAGGGCCAGGAATTGACGCTGCGCCAGATGCGAAGGTCATATTTGGAGTGTCTTTCAGCAGCTCCGGTAGCAGGACTTCAAAGCTACCTCCATTCGTCCTTCCAGCTCGCAGAAGCCTTGGGTCCCGATAACATATCTATCCAGGGCGTCAAGAAAGCACCGCTTCGCAATCAGCGAACTGCAAACCTTATATCCGCGAAGAAGATGCTGAGGAATGGCTACATCAAACGATACCGAATTAAACCGCGCCAGAAAAAGACGAGTGATGACAACAGGAACGACAATAAGAGAAGCCAAATGCCGTAAGGTTGTCCTGACTGAACAAAAATTGTATATTCTAATTTTATGGTAGTATTGTTCTCGAGACTTTCTGGGTTATACTTACTTGGGTGGTATTGGGTGCAATATTCTTTGTTCTTAGCTGGTGTAACGCCGCAGGCCATACTTCCTGGAAGGGCATTGTCCCTTGTGTCCTTTTCTCTGGCTGATCCATCGTTCTCCGCTTCCTCGAGCAGTTTCGCATGAAACGGTGTACCAACACACCCACAAAGCCTGATGAAGAGGATCAGATTGTGATCCTGGGGCCTCGCAACTCATGTGTCGTATTTGAAGGAACGCGTCGCGATGTCAACAAATGGTCTGGACTTGGTGTTGAGCTTGGACCTGGAGCTCGAGGAAGCTTCATAGGTGTCCTGATGTGGGGAATCAGCCTTGTCCTCCTTATTGCAATCTTCGCCATCGTTCCGAATGGAACCACATGGGATCAGGTCGCTTGGATTACATTGAACATACTCGGTCAGATGAACGTTCTAGTTTGCCAGTGGCTAAATGTCGAAGGCAGTCTTACGTGGTTAGAAGAAATACATCCCGGACTAGGCGAAGTTGTCAAGACTCGGACGGATGTGTATGGATATCTTTTAGAAGAATTTGGGAATGGCGAGTGGGTCGATGAGATGGAATTGCTTCCAAAAACAGAACTTCGGCGACGCTGGAGACATGAATGGGCGACAAATTCACATGCAGATGTAAAGTTATTATATGATTGCTACGCGAAGGAGATGCAGGTAACTTCCCATAATGAGGGCCTTTGAACCCCAAGGAAATGGTTCTGTGTTTTCTGGCTTGTTTTCATTTCGGGGCATCGTGGTAGAGTTTTGGTGGATTTGGTTGTTTGAGCCGCTTCGGTTTCTGACGACGCTACAAAAATGCAGATTATCCATACTGGGCAGGACTGTTGCTGCGAGCCAAATACCGATGAGTACTTCTGACGGAGACTTCAAGATTTTGAGACTGGTAACAATGATCAAGCTTGCTGGTGGGGGCGTAGGGTGGGGCAACTGGTGCTTGGGTTCGCCAAGAAACAACCACTACAAGCGGGGTTACCCATTCTAGATACTTAGATATCGTTGTAGAAGGCTTGAAATTCATCCGAGGAAAAGACTAGACTATAGGTTTGAGGTCCTGCAGGTACGAGTAGCGAGTAGATTGGCCATATTAGCTGCTGTCTAACATCCAAAGCAAAAAAGAACAGTTTGCAAAACTTTAGAAGTGACTTTGCTGAGAGAGGTACAACGCTATGGCTATGCCCAAAATCATGATTCACGCTCAAGCTCCTATCACTCGATCTTTGCTTCCGGAAGCACCAATTAATCGGTGCGACTTCCCACTAGCGATTTCGTTTAGCGAGAGACAGAATAAACAAAACGCTAACAAACGGGCATCCCATCCCCCCATAGCCTCCTATCCAAGCCTCACCGTACCAGTAACCTGTACCTCATAGCCCACGTCGTCGTAGTTCATCAGCAACCCTGCGCACAATAGCCCCTTCAATACTCTTTGGCCCGAGGTCCCTGGCGACTCTGTCAACAACATCACTACACCTCCTGTTGCCACCATTGCCATTTCCTCCTCCTGGTCTGTTCCCGTTATTACCACCTTTATCACCGCCGTTGTTCCCGCCATTGTTCGGGTTAACGTCTTCTACGGGCTCTTTTGCGAAGGCTCTGTCGTGAGGTTAGACATGTTGTGAATTAAGACGAGAAAAGCGATGGAGGAAGAGGTTGGCACTTACGCATCGATACTGTCTAATGCGCCCTTAATAGCGGGGTCGTCGGTAGGCATTGATTCACCAAGGTTTGCTGGTGTATCAGAAGTCTCTTGACGTGAATCGAGTTGGTTGTGGAACACGCCAGCGGATGCGAGGGCGCAGAAGCTGAGAAGAACGATATTGGAGAGCTTCATTTTGAGTTTTGATTATATCGAAGATAAAGAGTGTTTGCTAAAGTACGGTGTGTGTATATGAGTAAGGGCGGCGAAACACTTTGCGTAATGAATGTGTGAATGTGCAGTTCAAGTATCCAGAAACGAACGATCAAACAAGAAGAAAAAATGAGGTCCGGACGGGACATAATGTAGTTTTCGAATGCCCGTACTTTGAAGTACAAGGAGAGATTTTCGTCGCGCCATCAGATCATGAAGCAGAATGAGGCGAGACGACATCATGCGATTCGTTGCATTGTCATCGTGTTCGGACGTTGAGATGAAACTATTTACTTCAAAGTACATCGCGAGTATACTGTACATCGAGAGTGGTGGTTGGTCAAAGTCGTTCTCCATTCTCAGAGGTATTAAACCCAGGAGTAAAATTGATGTCAAATGATGAACGATACACTTGATCCATCTATTGTAGAAGCAGAAAGCTGTACATTTGCGGTTAAATGCAACCGATGATTTCATCTACGTTCTTCCAACCATCCTGTCTCGATTTTGAAAAGAGCTCTTTGGTGCTGCAAATTCCTACAAACCTCGAGTCTGAATGTGCCGTTGGTGTCCCAACTATCAACGGTGCACAGGTACCGGTCTGGTACAATCTCGCTTGCGTTGTTTCCAAAAAAGGTACATTTATCAGATGAAGAGCCGGAGTGTTTTATTATTAAGACTCTCGGCCCTCTGAGACCCACTATTTAGCGGAATTATCCAATCACAAGTCTTCATTGTAAGTAAATTAACCTTTTGTATATTCGAGCCGGGTTTCCAAAGATCGGTCCATTCAAACATTTTCCAGAGGCAGGCTGTATTGTGTTTACTGGTATCGTCTTGGGATTTGGAATGGCTGAAACATTCGTCTAGTACCTCGAGCCTTCAACGACTACGTACGCACTGGCGCTTGAATCTTATCTGATGTCTCTCGAAAAGTCTTCGAAGAGCAGGAATTGGAATGGAGAATTCGGGTCAGAAGATTTCCGTTGTCTTCCCATCGGATCGTCCATGCGATTGTGGGATTCGTGTTTGGGCGAAACCTAACATCCTCATGCGAAAATGGAATGAAGGCCATCTTCGGTAGGAAGAGGGAAAGTTGACAACTGTCGAATCGGAAAACTAGCTGCAAAGAGTTTAGCGGGTCAATGACCACAGTCGAAATAAGGCGCAATAGAAGCGGTGCGTCGAAACTTGCAAAACAATGAGGCGGTTTTGCATTGCAAGTTGCTGGACGAGATGAACATGATGAGGGTTAGTCGAAGGGGAATATTCCATCGTATCAATAGATCGTTGCGGTGGGCGTAAACAATTACTGTACTCGTGTTAGGGGAAGGTAGGATTCACGAGTTAGGGTGGCTACGTACGAGGAGTATCTGGTTATTGCAAAAAGCGATTGAAAAAATGGGAATATTCTGAGACCTAAATGTTACCACTCATAGATCAAATAATAGAAGTCCAAAATGTGGCGGTGCATTCTTTGTGCCACAACTCTCGTACTCGTATAGTAATATATACGAGTACATTGGAAGGCATGACGGATGACGGAGTAAGATACATCCCTCTGTGCCATCACCAAACCAAACACTCACCAAAACACACGATGCTCGCCTATCAGCGTCTCGTTTACCAACAAGTCTACGAGTACATCGTATGGATATTCAACATTTTTGATATGGTAATGTACTGTCCAGCTACTCTCTCTACCCAAATGTTCAAAACTACACGTGGCAAGCGCAACAAAATGCCTCCCTTTGAGACATGCAATGCCAGAATTGCTTTTTCAGGAACTCAGGGGAATGCGGCTGATATCACCAAAGTGGTCTCTATCTATATGCAAAGAGGCTATGAAGGTAAGAATTGTCTTTCCTTCCATGTTTTTCGTGCAATTCCAAGCCCCTTGTGAAGGTATATCGATATGATTTCTTCTCGATTTCTCCTTCGTATCTCTCTCGTTCTCACCCTCGGGCTGTTTGTCATCTTTCAATTCCCTCATACCCGTGAAATACCAAAGGCCAGCTATAGGAAGGTATATCAAACCGCAGTGATCGGCCGTAAAGGAGTCTTTGCACAAGCTATCGCAGATACAGATATTGACGGACCGTTCGATGGGAGTTCGTTGAAAGAGTTGTGCCAGAATACGAGATGGACGCCAGGCTTGATCTTCAAATGTGATCCGCCGACCGGTGGAGTGGGTATTGTGCGAAATATCTATCTCAACTGTCTACGCTTTGCGATCGAAGCAGGAGGTTTGCATCCCACTCCTTGCCGGTCCTTCACTGGCATAGCTAACAATAACAGCAACCTCATTCATAATCCCCGAAATGATAGCCAGCAGAAAACTCCCAGACCTCGCCCAGGGTAACAAGCAAACCCTCCTACATGCAAATCCACCCCAATCATTCGAACGCTTCTTCGACCTCGAACACTTTACCCACTCCCTGCGCACCACATGTCCCGATATCCGGACAATTTCACATCAAAACGAATTGTGGGATAAACCATCCACCGCGGTACCCCTCCAACTCGACCCCTTCGAACTAAGTGGCCCGAATATCGGCGATGTGATCCTCTCCTCACCAGAGAAATGGGCGGAAAGTTTTCGGGATTGGTTAAACAAAAGCCACCTCAAGCCCTATAGCGAGGAGAAGCCAGTGGTGGTTACGATCATGAATCCACTTCTCCAATTGCCTCTCGGGTATGATGAGCCACGATTTGTGGCGAATTTCGGGAAGGTGTTGAGGTTTAGTGAGGATGTAAGGAGGCTTGCTGGGACGGTGGTATTTGCTTTGAATCAAAGGTTTGGGTTTGGCATCCATCCTGATCGTGGGGGTGTGCAGGAGCATTACTATTATGGTGCGCATTTGAGGACTGAGGGGGATGCTACGAGCGCAAATTGGACGGGTTATGAGGATCAGGCTGAGAATTACCTTGAGGCTGCGAAGTCGTCCGGTTTGAAAGTTGTTTATCTTACGACTGGGAATGATCGGGATAAAATACGTTTTGCGAAGGATGCTGCGAACTCAAGTGTAACAGTTGCCACAAAGGAAGACCTCTTGAATGCGCACGGCTTCGAGAAGGAATTTCCTGAAATGCAAAATCTGGGTTGGGAACAAAAATTGTTGATCGACTACCAAGTTCTGTTACGAAGCAGCATCTTCGGGGGCACGCATGAGAGCAGCTTTTCTTGGAATATAGCTATGCGGAGACATGTTTTGGCAGGTGATGGGAGTTGGATACCTAATGGTAATAAGACTGCTTCTCACGAGCGTAGCAAGGGAAGACGTAGTGAGGGAATACGATGGAACGATAAGATGGGTAAAGAGGGCTTGGAAAAGGGGGAACTTTGGAAATCAATCATTTCTGAGCATCTCCAGGACAAGGAAGAAAGACAGAGTTTCCGCGATGGATTGAGCACTATTTTTGGCCCCGTGAGCGAGGGGAGGGTCTTTGGACTGGCTGTTTGGCCCTGATCTTTCTTTCAACTTATCTGGTCGTCTGTTATTTTGGGGTGCTGGGTGATGGATTGGGCTTGGTGACGTGACTGTGCGTGTATGTACTGCATGTTTTTTTCCCAATGGATTTATATCTGACATGTTCTTTATATTGTAAATTTCTTCGGAGGAGTATGATTTGATTTTGTACTCTTGGATTTTCCTGCGTGTGTGATTTTTGTTTTTCTTTGTGGATATTATTGGTCGAACCGAGGCATAGAGATTTTGGTGATACATTGAGTGTTCTTTTTTCACTGGAGAAGGAAGGAGAATATGAGAGGAGAGGAGGGGCGAATGTTTGGGTTCGAGTATTCGAACAGGGGTTGTGGATGTCTCGCAGGTAGATGATGTATTAGAGCGTTGACGTACGGTCTTGTATTCATGAGAGGTGACGTTGTGAAGTTTCATGACTTTGTTTACTTCTCTTGAGGCTCGAGAAGAAGCGATGGAATGATGAGTTGGGCCGGAACGAACGAGTGATGTCACATCTAGGCACACATTCATAGCTTGATATAGGACGCTGAAGACGATTGCATAGCTCCATTTGAAGCATAACCGTATGCGTGGGGTGATCATGAGCCCACTCAGGTCATTTCTTGCAATCGAGTTCGCCTACAGATCAACGAAAACCTCTATCAGGTGTTGTGTTCACTCCCTCACTCCCTGGTGGAGCCATGGTACTGTAGCGTTTGAAAACATTCACAGAGGATTATGCGATTCGCTTGAATGTGCATGATTTCGGATGCTATGAGCTCAATTCTCGAAGAGGCCGTCGTGACCAAGATATCAATGCTGATGTATGATGATCCTGCGTTCCATTGGACAGGTCGTATGTCCCAACAATATGTGTTTCTGATGCGGGATTCATTTGCACCAGTTCGTGATCATTTTCGAGTTTGGTTGCGAGGGCGCCGACTTGAAACTGGGTAAACTGGGTACAACTAAGTACAGGGAGTAATTACTATACCTTGCGAAACGAACTTTGTCGGTAAGTACAACTTGACGAGTTTTCAAAAATTGGAGTCATAGAACTTCATATTTTTGAAGGGTTTGTGCACAGGTCACGCGTTCTTTTGAGGCTGCTCTTTCGTCTTCACGAGACCATTTCCCTCTCCACAATCAGAGATGAATTGTTTTCTGATTTGAACTCCATTGCTCCGAGCCTGCCCCTCTCATTTCGTACGTAATCCAGGTGGATAGTTCTATTTGACGCATAGTTCTGTTCTCACTGGGTCCACTCTTCACGAGCAATGCGGAGGTTTTCCTTAACAAGAGTGGAACCTTAAGCGAGAAGGAGACTAGAGGCTGTTTGTGTTCACATCTATAACGAATTCACAATAAACATTATCGAATCACATTAATGGAGGAGAATTTTGATTGGCGAGGTATTGCTTTTGATAAGACTTAAAATTGTGGAAGGGGTTGGGGTTGAGCTGTGGGGATTGGGTATTGGGAATTGAAGTTCAAGGGGACAAATGACCGTGGTTCTATATCAAGAGAATATTGACTTATACGTCATCTGTGAACCTAGGAGCGCGTGGGTCATCATGCTTGAGGATGATAAGCTCAGGAACCGGATAGTTTGGCGGTGCACCAGGTCCTTGACAGAACTCCCGAAGGATCGCTTCGATTTGACGCTGGCACAATGCAACACCGTTTTCTCCCTTCGTGAGTAGTGCGTTCTCGCCCCGACCTTGGCCAGCTGTTTCCGTTTCAATGAAGCTTGAAGGGTTGACAGCTCTTACCAGTATAAGCTTCTTTAACTTGACCTTTCGGAGAAGTCTGAAAAGCTGCAACCGGTATCGCTCTCGGAATAGGCGATTCGCATCATCGTTGTCATCAACTGGCCAAGTCAAATGCCCTAGTGTAAGGGTTGTTCCTTGTGTTAATGGGACATCATATGCATGATCCAACAAGACATTGAACCCTACAAGTCCGAAAAGAGAATTGTTGCGATCCAGTCTGTCGCCGAAGTGGCCACCTGGGTTCCGAATCCAATCAGGGGCCGGGTTGAGTGCTAACGTGTCTCGCTCCCAATTGATATGGAAAAATCCGGCCTCTGGTACCAGTCGGTTTCTTCTTAGAAGTGAAGCTGCCCGTTGCAGAAATGGGGCTCGCGACCGCGGAATAGGAGGGGGTTCCCGCACAATTTCGTAAGTGCCATTCTCAATACCTATGGATGGAGCTGGATCATAGGGTGACATGTGGTGAAACTCCCTCCTAGGTCTGTCTTCCTGCAAGGTCTGTTGAATTATAACAGTTCTTGGTGCGAACATTCTGTCCCGAACCATAATATTCAACTCCCCTGGAAGGTCTCCGACTCTGTCTAAAATACTCTTTTGAGACAAAATATTTTTCATATTGTGTGACATTTCTGGATTTACCTTTTGTTTTGGGTGAAGTTTGTAACTTGAGATATGTCTGTTTATTAGTTTTGGGAGGTTTCCTTAAATCCCTTCCTTTTAAGTCTGATTAAATGTCAGGAAATGTGTTCAGACTCACAATCGCTTTGTGTTTATATGTTTGATGTGGTTTGTTCTGCGGAGAAAACAATGCATTATCTGCCAACCCACCCTTTCAATAGTGCCGAAGCCCCACAATAAAGAAAGCTTTCATGTAGCATCCGAAAGATAATTTGATTGTTCTCTTAAGATATTGATAACCGAATGAAAGACAAAATGAAAGATATTACAACCCGATATTCCCAAATAAATACCCAGAAAGAAAACAACAACAAACCCCCACCATTTCATGTCTTCCTTCAAAAACCCAAAAGTTACAAGCAAAAAGCCAAAAGCTAAACACTCCAAGCTACCATTAAATGCGTTCATCCCAGGGTTGAACTATCTTGTGAAGCAGAAAACAGGTTTGCAATCGCGGCACTTTGATTGTCGAAGGCATTATCGAGCCAACGTGGAAATATTCAGATCGTTTCACGTTTCTTGCGAACACCCAGAAATTAACTGAAGGGAAGTATGGCAAGTTCTACTGCGGAACAAGCTTGTTTTGATGAGCCAAAGACCCCATGCAAAGACCATATGATAGAAAGTTCTTGAGGAATGCTAAGAGTGGTTTTCTCGGATCCTCTCCACCCCAATCCCACGTAACACATGACAAAGGTACCATCGTCTGAAATTATTACAACGGTAACCAGATTAGAAACGAAGACTTCGGATCTGTCTCACCGGGAAAGTGCAGAATAACTTGAACTTAAGGGTGTGGTGGTCTACAAAATACCACTTGATAAAATATCACCAACAAGCTGGGTAAAATCAATTTCAACGAACGGAGGAGGAGGTTGGGTTTTTTTAGCAACAATAATTAAATGGCTGAGTTGAAGCTGAGCCATACACCCAATGGCGAACATAAAACTAATGGAATTGTTGTAAACCCCGTGATAGAGGCTGAGGAAAGAGCAAGTCGGCAAAATAATCTCTCCACTTTAATAAATTCACTTCCCAATATTATAAAATCACCACCTCCCAAAATAGGTACGGGCACCCCTGACGTAAATCCCGGACACCCGCTTTACCCCACGTATCAATCGACCGGATGAATTTACGTCTAAGCTCTCCTGCTCTACTAAGAAGGTGTCACAAGCTCTCCTACTTCATTAAAACAATTACATCACCCTCAGATTGCCGATGGTCGAGGTTTAAAAGAACTGCGTGTTCTTCAACAACATCTAGGCATCTACTTCCAGTCAAATCAAATCATGGGGTCGCAGGGCGAGCCTTTGCCCCCTCAAGAGGATGAGATTACCGTTCTCGTTACAGGATTTGCTGTAAGAACATTTTCTTGTCAAAGAATCTTTACGGATTCCAAAATAGATATGATGTCATCTATCCCCATAACTATAATAGCACTGTTGACCTCCCAACAGCCATTCCAAGAGAAATACCCAATAAACCCCTCCTGGGAAATCGCCTCCCGACTCCCTCCCTCCCTCCCCTCCTCCAAAACCGCACCCTCCGATATCTCAGCCATCGCAGATTTACCACCCGTCCGAANGGAAATCGCCTCCCGACTCCCTCCCTCCCTCCCCTCCTCCAAAACCGCACCCTCCGATATCTCAGCCATCGCAGATTTACCACCCGTCCGAATACTCGTCCATCCCGAAGCAATCAAAGTCTGCTATCCCGTCGTCCGAGAACTAGTCCCGAAGCTATGGGAGGAGAGCAAGAAAATTGATTATGCGATTCATATCGGGATGGCTTCTGGGAGAAGGTTCTATAGCGTTGAGAGAAGGGCACATAGGGATGGATATTTCAATAAGGACGTAGATAACGAGTTGTTGGGGGATGTGGAGAGAAGGGAGAAGCAGGGGGACAGATGGATTTGGAGCGGAATGCCGGAGGAGTTGTTGACTAGTGTTGACGTGGTGGATGTTTGGAGGAGGTGGAGGGGTGCTTTACCTGTATTTATCCTATTCCCGTCGCAACTTAGCGACCCCACTAATGATGTGAATAGGCCGAGGATGTTAGGATTTCTGAAGACGCCGGAAGGTATCTGTGTGATTTCATATTCTTCTCCAGTCTGGCGCATTTGACGAAAAAAGAGGAGGAGAGGAGAGTGGTATTTTTTCATGTCCCGGTTCGTTGTGATGAAGAGTCTATTAATACGGGTATCGAAGTGTGTCTGGAGCTCATCCGAGCAATTGTACAAAGCGGTAGGATGAAGAAGTTAATGAGTCAATAGTCCATAAAAATTGGAAAACATATATTCCCATTACTCTTTTTCACTGCCACAATCTCCCAGTGCAGTAGTTAAAACTGAGTGGGTACGTCCGCCGTCAACCATATTCCCTGTTATGGTATCAAGAGTCTTGCAAGTTCACTAATTCAGGCTCCCGTAAATCATTGGTCTCTTTCATGAGTATAGATTAGATGGCGCCATATCCATGGTGTAAACTTCTTCGAAAGTGATATCATTGTCGCAATAAATTCGTATATGAAATAATTTACACAACTACACTTCACTATCCATTGTGTCTTACCTTGCACCCTTTGCCATATTTCCACCCTACCTTCGGCTTCTTAAATTTCATAGCGCAAACGCTTCTCAATCCTACAGTGTAAGGATACCACATATCCAAGTGACGTATGGATCGACCCAGAGTGTTCCAATCTTGGGAATGCATTGAGGGAAATCTATTATAAGAGGATCGAGATTGAGGAGTTGGAGCTATTTGATGAAAGTCTTCAAACAATTCTCGCTTCTAAAATGGAGACTACTCGCTTTCTTTGCCAGAATGGATTTTGAGTTGTGAGAAATAGGATAGGACTTGGCGAATTACGACCTACCCCTTTATCCTGCCAAGTCGTAGGCGAACATCCTGCGACCCGTACGGAAGAGGCAGCTCATGAGATTAGGCAACCCAAGAATGATTTACGGTCGGGAATTTCTTTGACGTGGAATCTCGTATGGGTTTGAGATATTTCCCTCAATTTCTATATTTCTTTTTCCAGTGGCACCTTCGGGGTATAAACCTTCAGTGATTATTTTGCCAATTTACGTGGAAGTTCCTAACGAGAGTTCTCCACGTATTTGTCAAGGGAGCTTTCAAGACATGATAGCATCTCTCTCGTAAAAGATGTATGAAAATCTTCTTGTTGGAAACGCCACGAGTCTCTACTAGTTAGAAGGAATACGGCATTCACGCTCGGCAGGTCATATCAATGGCGATTTCCCAAATTATGGTATAAGAATCTCGCCATTCTTGTTTGTGCCACAAAGTGCTGCATGTAGTTTCATGCTGTTCAACCTATTTATTGAGGCTGGAAATACAATATGTGTCACTTGTTGATGGTCAACTGCATTCCTATCTTGACCAAAGCCTTGATTCTTGCGTATATCTACAAGACTTGTGTGCCGCGAGTCTAAATCATCATCTGTACATAAGGCTTTTGGGAGGATTCGCTTTACCGGCGGTTGCCCACCCAGCCAAGGAACTTGTAAACAATCCACAGCTAGTGTTTCGAGGAGAAAGACGTCACAATTGGTTGCAAATTGTTTCTTATTCATTTACACATAGCTATTAGCAATTTCATGAAAACTTTTATTTCTGGCTATGATTTCTTTGGGTCTGTCAGGGGGCGGCGGGATCTTCGGGACCCCTTTTGACTAAATGCTTACTATATCGCGGTCTAGTTTCATGGAGGCAAAATTTTGGCCACCATCGCCTAAGTTTCAGTTAGGAAGGACCTACTTTTCCCCAGATTTTTGGAAATCTGATAGTGGAGAAGTTTGTTTCAAGAATGTTATGTCACGTGGTACGGGTGAAATCTGATTGGTCGAAACTTGTGCGCCTCCTCCTGACCTGTGCATCTGGAGCCTTTGATTGGCTGCAGTGAATTGTGATTGTTCTCTTACTATTGACCTATGGCCATCAAAGATTTCCATCACCACCATTTGGGTCTTTACAGGCGGTCCTTTGTCTGACTCCTTGTGTTACTATTGTTGAATATATGAAAACTACATTTCCTGAGTGAATAATGCCTTGCAATACTGGCAACTTCTTTGTGTTCCTTCTTTTGTACTTTTTATACCCATATGCGTTCGCATTCCTCTATTCACTCCTTGAATGACTTTGTTGTCGCTTGACGCCTCAATTAAACAGTTATATTGCGCACTTTATTTCCCTCTTATCAACTTCTGAACAACCACTTCATACATCACGAACAGCGCTGGCACGACAAAGTCTTAAACTACTGTCCTCATCGTCAAACAGTCGTTCTTTCCATCAGACACTCGCTCTACCACACCCACTCGCTACGATACAAACACAACATACACTCATTTACGATATACACCATTTACAAGTCAGGAACGATGTATACTACATTATTTCTCGCGACCATCCTTGCCTTCGCAAGTGGGCACATCATCCTCGAGAGCCCACCGCCGTTCGCTTTCCCAGCTGATGGCCACTACAACCCTCTCGAACCCGACGGATCTGACTTCCCAGGAAAGATCCCCGCTGGTACCACCAAGCTCGAACTTAATGGATCCATTCCATTGTGGAAAGCTGGTGAAGTCCAAACTCTCTCCTTCATTGGTGCGGCAATCCACGGTGGTGGATCTGGTCAGGTTTCCCTTCTCCCCGGACACGAACCAAGTAAGACAAATAGCGACTTCCGAGTCCTCAAGTCTTGGGAGGGCGGTTTTCCAATGGCTCACCAGAAGGGAAACCTCGCACCAAATGTAAACCCTTCCGACAAGTTGGAGTTCACAATTCCTAAGACTCTACCCCCTGGCAACTATTCTTTAGCATTCTCGTGGATCAACCGCATCTCTGGCGGCAACGAGTTCTACATGAATATTGCGCCAATCTCGATTGCCGGCGGCACTGGACCCGTTCCCAACGATGCTCTGAAAGACTATCCCCCTATATTCATGGCGAACTTGGGAACCGTCGGTAAAGGATGCACGACAGAAAACGGACGAGCAGCACAAAAGGCGATTCAGTTCCCGAATCCAGGATCGGTTGTTGACCATCCAGAAGGTACTGCAAACCCCATCAAGGCAACCTGCGACGGCAACCCGCAAGCTACAGCTGGACCAGGAAGCCCTCCATCATCATCAGGTTCACCTTCCCCTACTGCTCCATCAGCGCCGACCAGCACTTATGCACCACCTGCATCATCTACACCGGCTCCTACGACCTCTGTAGCTCCTCCAACGCCAACATTGTCATCGGGAAAGCCAAGTACTGTTCCGACGACGTTGGTCACTTCTGTTCGACCATCGACCACGGCAAGTCCATCCTCGGTTGCGCCTCCTCCAAGCTACACCACTTCATCTTCAGCTCCAGCTCAACCATCAGCTCCCGCTGGACCTTGTATTGAGGGCAATCTCCTATGTCACGATGATAGAGTCAGCTTCTCGACGTGCACAGGTGGAAACTTCATCGGAAGAACGCGTCTTGCGCCTGGAACGAAGTGCACTCCTGGAGCCGGTGTAGGATTGAACATCACTAACCCTTATTGAGGGCAAAAATGGTGATCAGTGATCTTGAAAGAATTTGTATGGAGATGGACGAATCGATTCTTGAGAGGGTATAAGATTCTTGTACCAGTACACACACATGATTAGATCGGGTATCTAACGTATTATTCTTTTCTTTTCTTGTACCGCACTTCAACAAAATACCCAATTTCCCTAGATAGACATAAACAATTACACTTTACTTTCCCAACATTGCTGATTTATTCTTTTCGTGACTTCTTGATCCTCGTAGACATAATTCTTTCCCCACTAGTACCTCAATACCGTTCGAGGAAGTTTGTCGAATTATAAACTAGAAATATTGGAACTTGAACCAGTTACTAACTATTATTTCCATCTATTTCCATCTATCCAAGTGCTTTCAAAAGTGTCGCGACATATTCATGGTTTGATCACGTGATAATCCATGGCCGCCAGTACCTTAGGGCCTGTTTGGCTCGCCGAAATACGTATCCCAGAAACAATATCCCCCATATAAAATTAGAGTTTAGTACTCTGTACGAGATACGACTCGTATCGAGTCCTAGAACGTTTGGCTCGTTTTAAGGATATAAATAAAGTAATCCTCCGAATACTAGTATCTCGGGATACGATGGAAACCCCCATACAAAATGGTATCTCGAGATCGTGTCTCGCTTATTCTATCTAATGTAAACAATACTACTTTATTTATATATTTATTATATAACTATATATTTATATACAAATTCTGAATTCCCTTCTTTATAGATGTTGTACGCGTAATAGGAGAGTAAAAACTATAGCGTGTAGCGCTATCTGGTGCATATGCGGCGGCTTTATACTACAAGATCAACTACGGTAAGACTCCCCAACAGAAATTCTAGCCAAACGATTTTATACTAAATATGTAATTCGAGTTATATTCCGACGGGATAGAGTTTTCGCGAATATGGTGGTATCCAGGGTACGCATCCGAAAACTGTAACTCGATAAAATCCGGGCCAAACAGGCCCTTATGGATGCCTGGATTCTACAGAGACAAAGAAGATACGATTATTAGATCACTTCTATTATACCTTTGTTGTTTCCTTTCCTTCTATGTCCTTGATATCTCTATACCATCACAAAGGTATCCTGAACACAATGCACTAAAGCTACACAGGGTAGATGTTACCGATAGATGTAGTAGAGTGTACGGGTCACGTTTTATCATGTGACGTCGGCTTGTCCTCCATAGGCGAGGTTCTTCATATCCTTCATTTCATATTCCACCAGTAGACTTGCGTTGTGATTTGGTTAAGCGATAGTGTGGTCACCAATAAAATCGCCAACCATATCGCAAGTCTACCGGTAATGGGATATGTAGGTAGGTAGAGAGGTAGTGAGAGATATTTTCACTTGGATAGTTGAATATGCCACAACAGTAGTTTGAGTGTTTTCATTTCAATTGTGGCTTTTGGTTGTATTTTTGCTGGATAGTTGGATTCGTACCACTATTCTTGTCGTGGGATCCGTGAAGCTGAAGCGACATAATACTACCAAGTACTATAACATAGTAGAAAGAACAGTGGTGTGTGTATACCAGTATATCTCTTCGCTCTAGAAGCAGGGGATGATAAAATCGCACTGTGCACTACTAAAACTAGTTGCATTGGATGAATAAATTGGTTTGTTCAAATCGGATGTTTACAGAGAGCGTGTCCAATATAATTAAGACGGGGAAGGGCTTTAATAGTCAGTGCGTCTTCCCTTGGTGCTGTCGCTTAACAGGCACGGCCGATTTTCATCCCCGTCCGAGAATTTCGGGGCACCTACGCTCAGAGGGATTATAGCCCCACAAAATACTTCATTGAACAGACATTCTGATCTGGTTTCAGATTATTCTTTCCCAGAGTTCTAGAGCGTCTTTTCGATACTGAGGTTACACTTCCACATGAAAAGATCGTCGACTAAGTACATACGTTGCTAGGCAGGTCATAATGTAGGGCTGTGAGGAATAACACTTGCATATGATTCGCAAGTACTTAAACCTTTTGAAGTTTGTGCATTTGTTATTGTAGCGGGAATTACCGATTTTGTAGTAATGATAGTTTCCATAACTAGAAGAACAGGGCTTGCGAGCACTGAAAAAGTATCAGAAATGGGTGGCAGAATACCAACCAGTATTGGATTTATGGCTTCGCTCGCCATGTCGGTTGTCCAGTGAAGAGGCAAGGGATTACCAATAATGTATTACATAAATGTTTTCTTAGACATTACGTTTCTTGTAGTACGCTACCTTCGTATATTCTCGATTTTACGGGATCTGATAGGCTCTTTGTATCCCCCCAACCCATATATACATGGATGGTGTATTTTGTTATTTTGCAGGCGCACGGCAACTTCGTAATACGAGATTAATTTAGCACATGAGGCTGTCAGAGAAGATAACCCTTTCTTAGAGGTACAGTTCCTCGGGCCCTGCTTTTCTGGAAAAGGTTTAAATAAACTAATCTTTAGAAACCTATCTTGGAAATATACAGGGTTGAATCCACTTATAATATAGTCTTCTCATTAGAGGTCATTACGAAATAGAGAGTCTGAGATGTCCGAGGGTAATAGCAAAACAGTCCCGCTCTTCGTCTAAAGATATACCGCTTCTAGAAACTTTATAGGGCGAGTAGCAGATCTACGAAACTCTATTACTGACAATTTAGTCTCCGTTACATTTTGCCACATTTTTGCAAATAAACTCATGAGTTATAGCAAAGTTCTAGACTACCACATTGTTACCGTAAAGATTACTGTATTTATGCTAAACCCCCAAATCTAAGCTTAAACCGTAAACTCAACCTAAAGAGAAGGACACAAAATACCCAAAAGATTAGCCGCGTATGGAAAAGTTAGTTGTTACTATGACTACAGGGTCTCGTGGAGCATGAACGTTTAACTGGTCTAACCGTCCAAAACAAATTTGGTTAAAAACATATACTAAGGTTTTACGGGTCCTCCTGATAGGGCTACTATATCTCTACTGAATTAGGCGACTCGTCTGCGCCTTAAGAAGACGACGATAGTTTTCGCCTAACATCTTTTGGAACCGCCACCCGAACATTGTTCGCAAAACAACTCGCCTACATCTATGTCACTTTGGCCGTTCATCAATCGAGGTTTAGAGCTCGATGCGACATTTTGCTTCTAGAACGAACATCGATGCAGACCGAAAAATGGTTATCGGATCAAAAGAGAATGAGAATTAACCTTCGCATCGCTTCGAAAATGGGTCGCTCGGATGCTCTAGAACTTATGGTAGTTTATTTGTCTGTCCAGAATACTGCAATTGGTATAAATGAATCATTTATGAACTCTAGTTACGGAGACCAGGGTATAATGGTGTCACTACAGGCTCGTGCCCTATAGGGTACTTTGAAGGACTCTAGCGAACCCACAAACCTTGTTGGCTCGCTTCGCAGATGTCCCCTCAGGAGGTGGGGGCAGACAACATAGCTAGTAAGATTTCTTCAATTTCTCAAGCGTAAAAACTTGATCTTACAGGCGTAAATCAGCGGCTTCAGTATAACATTTACAGTACCCTTGGGGTATTCTATAGGGCTATCTATAGCTAAGAACTAAATTATAGGCCCATAGCCTATACTGACAATATATTCGACCGCGTTCTCCGGTGATGAAATGCTTCTTTCTCGAGGTAATTATCCTGGATTTTACATTCAAGAGAGAGATTCCAATACTGGTGGTAAAAACGTGGGCAGACGTGGGTGTAAGAGTGCGTACTGAGAAAGGGGGGGTCATTCAAGATCAATCTGATCCAAGCCCAACATATCGACTAGGGATACCCCGTTCCATCTGTCCCAACAAGACGGGAGATCTTTCCATGCAAACCAAGGACGTGCACGACTTTCTCGGTGTGAGCTTTGGTGTGAAAAACAACGGGGCGCTAATTCCCTATTAGAAAAACCCCTGGGCGGCACAGGAGATACTTCGTATAGTCCTAAGTCCGACCTGAACTGAGATATCCTTAAGAAAAATCGCCATTTCTGAAACAAACAGTTAATGTAGACTCTAGAATCAGAGACAAACGAACGATGGATATCGTGGTAAATCGACCGTTGCGCTAATGCTAAAGTGTATTACTAGGGTACAGTACCCGTCGGAAAGTCTGAGCCATTTAGCTGAAGTACACCCAAAAACGGCGATTTGCCTAGTTTTTAATAGCCTATAATATTACGTTTTATAATTAAAAGCTTTAGCCCTCTTGTAAACTTTTAGTTAAGTATATTACTAGTACTCCTATATAGGTGTATTTAGTTATAAAGAAAGTCTATATTAGTATATTTTCTAATTTTCTCGAGTTAAATATTTTAGTGCCGAAATCGGGCCGAATTTGGTGTAGAATGCGTAATTTTTAATAATAGATTACTTTAGACCTATTTTACTTAATACTGTATATTATCTAACAAAATCGGAAGAGATAGAAAGGAAGGAAACGTTAAGATAGAAAGATCTTGTAAAGGACTTCATATTTATAAATAATCTTTTTTGTTTTTTCTACAAGTGATTATACCGAGTTTTGGTGTAAAAACGGCAAATGGCTCGTAATATGTACTCTCCCCCCCTATTAAAATTTCATTTCTGATAGCTTGATATGATAAATCGCTTGTGGCGAAACTACCCTGTGCCCGCTTATAAAGTTCACAATGAACCTCCAATTAAAAGGGGGCGGGGGTGGGGGGGAAATGACACGGAATAGTGTGAACTGGAGGCTCCTTCTTATTGAACTGTGGGCTCCTGCTCGGTAGAAGTCATCCTTCTTATGCATAGAGGATCAAGATGATTGATAACCGAGAGTACCGAGATGATTGATGGCTCCTTGTTCTCGGAAGTTTCTGTCTAGAGACTCATGAAAATCTGTTCTCTGGGTAGCGCAAAGGGCTACAAAAAGTCAGTCGTCTTACTAACTTCTACCATCCGCCTCACACCCTCGCATCAGCCGTTACAGTCAATTTACAGTTGTAGGTTCGTGGATTAAAGGTAAAGGTTCTTGGTAACGATTTTACACTATGACCCAGACTTAGACAGTGGCCATTTGAGGCTGTTCTTCTCATGATAACAATCGTATAACCTTGATTAAAACATTACAATGCGGCGTCAAGGTTTGTAATAGCAAGAGCCTTAAATTTGACTCTATCCTTTACACAGGAAAATGATCAAAACGTTTATAGATGACATAGCGGCTGCGACTTTTCCAAAGCATTCTTTCGAGTAGTGAGATTCACAAAAGAGAACTTACGCTTACTCTAACCTTAGCAGAAGAACTTTGCGTAGGCTCGTAGCTTATACAGCAAATGCCTACTAAGTCTAGTTTACTCTTAAGTATTATAATAATCTTAAAAAGCTATATACTTCTCGTATATAAAAATAGTCTATAAACGAACCCAAGAAGTCCGCCTTCCATTCTCTCTCCAACGCAACTCGGCACAACAACTCTTCATAACATTGTGATTTACATCCATTCCACATCATCAAATCTACTCACACTTTGCACTCAGCGTCTCAACAAGATGCCTTTCCTCCACCCCTTTGTCGTCAGCGCGCAGCTTGCTACCGTTCTCGCCGTTACAGTGCCCAAAACACTTGATACCAGTGATTTGGCCCTACTTGAAAATACTGCCAATTCTATCGGAAAGGCCTTCGAGGAAGTCTCCACTCTTGGAAATATCAAGAAGAGAGTTCTTAGAGCTATTTACGCTAGTTCAATTTAATATACTTCGAGTGGAGTGCCCCGGGAACGGGGTCAAAGAAGAAGAACATGGCCAGTCCAGATGCCTTAGAGACTACGGAACAGATAATCAAGAAGAGATATATCAAGGAGAGGGTTCCCTCATCTGTATCACGAACTCCACCTCATCAAAACATGCAGCATCAAAAAACCCACCTCCAAGTAGCAAGTCTAAGAACCTAGCTCGTTAAATCTCGCTCCTCCCACAAATCAGAATCCTAACAAGACAATTTCGCACAAGCATTTCCTAAGATCTATATCTGCATATCACTACCTCCACCCTATCAAAACACGCAGTATCAAAAAACCTACCTCCAAGCAACAAGTCTAAGAACCTAGCTCGTCAGATCTCGCTACTTCTACAAATCAGAATCCTAATGAGACATTTTTGCACAAGCATTTCCCTATATCTATATCTATATCTATATCTACACATCACCAACTCCCCTTATCAACCACACGGTGCCGAAAACCCCCATATCCACCTCTAAGCAAGAGCCACAAGAGGGCCGACGGGGAGGTTAACAATATCAACAAGTAAGGGATTCTCTAGGTCTATATCTCTATATCACCTGAGGAATCTTATAGTCTGTATCTCATTACCACGCAGGCGATATGTAGAGTATATAGTTCTATATACGTAATACTAATCCTCCGTATCGTACACTCTATATAATCAACACTTCAAGAGAACGTAATGTAAGAATACCAAGGTCGGGTTTTACTTATAGATCCATATCCCTGGAAATTAAGGAACCCCTATTATTCTTTCACGTCTCTATATATCTTTGATATATATTTATACAGTGAGATTTTGAATAGTAAACTTCCGTACCCTTGTACAAAACACTTCAAGAATCAAGAAGGGTTAGTAAGATGTTATGCTAGAATAGTGTTTTGATGGTAGATTTGAATTATTGATACGTATTATAGATACTAGAGTCAACTACTTAGGAACTTAGTAAGCGGTATTTTTTGAAGTGGTGGTATGGTGGTATGGTGGTATAGAGGTAGAGATAGAGATAGTGGTTTTGACTTGTTAAGTAGGTAGGTACTTGGTGTTGGGAATTTGATGGAATGTTGTATACGTTATATTACATCGTGAAATATCTCAAGAAGAGGACTTGGAGGTTTACTCTGCTCTACGAGATCTTCCAGACTCCGTTGCTTTGAGACGAGGAGAGAGTATTAGAGACAACCTCGGACTACAAACCAAACCTTCACGTAGGCGAGGAATGCAAATTTCGGTCTTGCGTTGGTATATATAAAATCTCGATTTCTAAGCAGTAATACTATAATTTAAGAAGTCTTCGCAATGCTTTTCTAACCCGTTTCCATTCCCAATTCCATTTCCAATCCCCAACCCATGATATAATTCCTACCAGTGCACTCCCGCCGATGTTCAGTAAACAGGTGAATATCCTAATCCAAGGGCATAAAGGTGAACCTATCAACAAACGGGATTGGAAATTGAAGAGGCTGCTTCTTCTTCGCCTCTGAATTCCAGCCGCCTAATGATGTATGACGTGGGATATCTTGCTTTGGTCTGTTCTGCATCTCTTTCCATACCGGGTTCTCCTCCATCTCCCAAAACGTAATGACCGGAATCTTGACCTTGGGATTGTACTTCTTCATGTGTTGGAAATGTCGCGAGGTGGAAGCGGCATACTGATTCAGTTGTCGCATAGACACTCCCACGGCCGCAAACTCGGATCTCGCCAGACGCAGTTCTTTCAGCCCGGTGAAAAGCTCCAAATGTCTTGGGTAACATCTGCTCAAGTCTACAGTCGAGTCGCCCTGCATTTCGGCTTTCTGACCCAATACCAATGTTTGAACTGATTCAAGACCAGCTGCGCGCAACTTTTCCAAAGTCATGCTGCGCTCCAGGGGCAAGGGAGAGAATAGTTCACTACACATAGATGCTGGTGGGGGGTTGATGATACAGTCATCCCAGCTAAGATACATGGAGTCGGTCTTGGGGTTAAATAGAACGGATTTCTGAATTCTTGGTGGGTCGTTGGGTCCGCAGCTAGTTAACAATTGACGGTAGTGGGCGAGGACTTCATCGCGTCCGTCATGATTGACATTGTAAACAGTTGGTGGTGGAACCATCACGTTGAACCAGTCTGAACATGGTCCCAAACGGATGTTGGGTTTCATGTGTTTTCCATGGACGTGAGTCATCAGAAGTAGTTGTCTTGGGGATGAGAGCGTTTCTCTCCATATCATCTGACGAATTTCGAGTGGGAGCTTGGTGAAGAGATGGAATTCACGGAGTGGTCGAGGGGACTTCAGCTTCTTCGTGTTGACCATATTCTTTGTGGTAGGAAAGGGAGTTGTGAAGCTGTCCTTGAATCGCCGTGCGGTGTTTTCTTTTTTTGTGCTCAGAGCCGCGTGGCTTGCAAGGGAAGGTTCTTGAGGACGAGAGGTAGATGGAGCGGGCAATGAACCCAGAAGGGAGGTCATGGTCTCGAGAGAAGAGTCAGGTTCGTGATCCAGTGCTGTGAGCAGACGGGATTCTTCTGAGTGAGTCTTGAGTTTGGAATTCATAGAAGTTGGTGGAATGTGGGATAGTGGCGGTACTGTATCCGTATCGTATGCAGGCTAAGATTGAGATTGCTGTTGGTGATATCGATGGAACAATGGTAAGTTTGGGGAGAGGATTAAAGCGGTAGATGTAAAGCGCAAGAAGTTGAAAGAACTTGAAGTTGAACATTTGAGATGCAATTGAGAAGAGGAGTAAGGGAGAGGTCGGTATGGAAGTTGAGGCAGTCGCAGTGGAGGTGAATTGGAAGCTCCCGAGGTCCGCATGGTTGCACGTGACTCTGGGGGCGCGAGTCGCTCAGGTCGCTCCCTCCTCACTTTCTGCCACACATCACATGCAGGGCGTCACCTCTGCTGTGCAATAGTTATACCTAAAAGCTGAAAAGAATCACCCCGCCATGCGTTTCTAGCACAAGTACAGTACCAGTGTTCCACAGACTCAAGAAACAACATCAGTATTCCCTTCCTCAATCTCATCTTCATACAATCCCTGTGGCGATAGCAATACATAATCTATCACGACCGCGAACCCCTTCCTATTTCTCAGTCACCTCACCATCTCAAGCACTTGGATACTCTAATCTGCCTTGCTACGAAGAAACTCACACCACACCGCGATATCATGTCATATATGCCTTCATGCTCTCACTATGACCGAATGAGATGGGGAAACCTCATGCGTGGTGCCTTCATCAATGAGCTTCCCGACGCCGACGGTCTCTTGTCTTTACACACCTTTACTTACTTCAAGAAATTGCCGTTGGAGCTTCGCTGGCGCATTTGGGAGGAGAGTTTTCCTGGCCCGCGTTTGGTTCATGTGTACTGGTACGAGCCGGGTGACTGGCAACCCCCCTATTTAAACCCCACCAATCTCACCTATCTCGCTTATCCACGGACGGGAAGCTTGGAAGTCCGAACCCGAGCCCGAACCCGGACCCGGACCCGGCCCACTACTGTAATCTTACCTCATCAAGTTGATTGTTACTGCAGGTGGACTGATTCTGCAACAACGTACTCGTAAATCTTCATCCTTCATCGAAAGCAAAATTGAAAAAGTGACGGAAGGAGGTTTATGTGGTTTATATATTACTCCCCGAGGATTCTTGTTGATGTAGAAGGTTACGAGTATGGTACAGTACTGAGTACAAGATACCTAGAGTAGAAGATAGGTAGGTAGGTAGGGAAGAAGCTACGCCGCATCCAACCCCGCCGTCTTATCTCATCTCACCTCAACTCAACTCAATTCATCCCAACCCAACCTAACCTAATGAAACAAAATAATCGCAATCCTACAAAAGAAAAGAATAGTATAGGAAGATGTGTCGCAAAGTAACATGTCAAACATGCGGTACGTTCCCCTCCTCTTCTCTCCCTATCCATCATCGATTCATCCCTTCGCTCTCATCCCTTTTTCATTCCCTTCCACCTCATCTTCCTAAACCTCCCACCTAACCCACCCACCCCAAACAGCGAAAACAACCTGGTTTGGCTGCGGCGCCCATGTTCCCGGGGTGATGGATGCGATTCCCGCTGAGGAAAGGTGTACGGTGAGTTCCTGTCGTTTCTTTGGGTGTACCTTACTTTATGACTTGGGAGTTGGTCCGGAAAAGGGGGGGAGATATGGAGGATGAGGATGAGGATGCGGATGAGGATGCGGATGAGAATTAGGATGAGGATGAGAATGATGATGAGGATTAGGGCTGATAGTGGTGTGGGGATAGTGTACACCGACTGTTAAGAAGGAGGGGAAGGTTTATCCTCCTATGGCTGGGGGGATGTGAGTTGGGTTGGGAATTGGGGCTGGAGTTGGAGTTGAGTGGTGAGGGGTTGGTTGGGGGGGTTTTGATTTGCTTGGGTGATGGGTGGCGGGTTTGGAGATGGTCAAGGAGTCTAGAGGGAGTTGGAGCAAGAGGGAAGCAGTTGGCGCGAAGGAGGTGGGATTTTGGTGGTGTTTGGGGATTGACGAGCAATGGTGTTTTACTGTATAGGATGGTAGGAAGGCGATTGATTAGAAGTTAACTACGATGCTGATAATGGAATACGGAATCATGCGAATTTATTGATATGGGGCCAGATTCTCCTCTTCTAAAGGTCATTTATCTTGTCTCGTCTCATCTCAATTACATGCTGTATATCTGTATAATCTCAAATCTCATGCCTCTATCTCATTGCCCTCTTTTCCCGAAGCGACAGAGGCGACAAAACGCTCTAAAAAAAGCCTGTTCAGATCTTGCTCCTCCTTCGAAAAGGCGCCCGAGAATACTGATTCGGCCACTTGACTTGCACACCAAGTCTATGTGCAACCCTGAGGACCCACTCGGGTTCCCTCAAAAACTGTCGTGCAACAAGCACCACATCCGCCTTCGCAATCTTCCCCTGCTCATCTTCTATTTCTAACGTCTTCTTCTCCTTCTCCCCTTCCATTCCTTCTGTTCCCGTTCCAGAGTTTGCATTCTGAACGATAGATTTTGCAACTTCTGCCGCGGTGATCATCCCCACAGCTCCAATCAACAAGTTCTTGATCCCAGCTTCGAACAACGCTTTACGGATTTGTCCTGCAATCCCGATTTGAAAGTCGGAATGCATCTCTATCTTCTGTGCCTCGTTGTTTCCACCTGAGCTTACATCTAGCAAATCGACCCCGAGTTCAGGGAGTAGTTTCGCAAGACGAATCGTAGATGGGACATCCCAACTCTCCTCACTCTTCTCCTCCATCCACTCCGTAGCACTAACTCTCACCAGCAACGGCATCCCTTCAGGAATAACACCGCGTATAACCTCAATAACCTCCATCAAAAGCCTGATGCGATTCTCAAACGAGCCTCCATATCGATCCGTCCGACGGTTACTGATAGGACTAAGAAACGAAGAAATCAGATACCCATGCGCGCCATGAATCTCAATAACATCCACGCCCGCCTTCACAGCTCGTATAGCACTTTGTCTAAACGCCTCAACCACCTCCTCCACATCTCCTACCGTCATCTCCTTCACCTCCGCAAACCCCTCCCCCCACCGAATCGCACTCGCACCCTTCACATCCCCCGGCCACCCTCCCACCTCCTCCGTCGCCAAACTCGCCTTGCCCCTCTCCCCCAGCCAGGGAGCGAGCGTACTCGCTTTCCGCCCCGCATGCGCTAACTGCACACCCAGCTTCTGGCCTTGGGAGTGCACGAAGTCCGCGACTTTTTTCAGCGGCGCAATTTGGGAGTCTTGCCACAGCCCTGCGTCTTCGGGACTGATGCGTCCGGCCGGGAGGACGGAGGTCGCTTCGACGATGGTGAGGGAGGCGCCGCGGAAGGCGAAGGAGGAGAGGTGGATGAGGTGGAAGTCGGTTAGGTGGCCGGCGTGGGCGGAGTACATGCACATTGGTGCGACCCCTGGTTGTGGTTAGTATGCGATTGTATTGTGATGGGGGGAGATAGGGAGAGATTGAGGGAATTGAAGGGAAAATTGAGGTCTTACATATTCGGTTTTGGAATGTCACTTCCCGGATTTTGAGGGGTGAAGAGCGTTGGGGGATTGGGAGATAGTGCTGTTCCGACGGGTGGTGATTGGAGGGGTGTGAAATATGGTGCGTCTGGCGCGACGGCGTTGGATGGTGCCATTGTGATCTCTCAGGTTGGCGAGAGACAATGTCTCTTGGATATGAAGTCAGGCTCGCCTTTGAAATGTTGTGAGATGGCAGGAAATGCCTTTGGAGAAGGATGGAACGGCTTCATGGTGATTTTGGGGGGGGATCTGGTGTTGGATTTCCGTAAAGGGTCTTCTTCCAAAGATATCGTTATCGCCATTTGTAATCATCGGACTTAAGAAGGCGGTGAGATTAAATCAACGACGATAGGTAGAAGAGAAGGTTCCTCAGGTGGACAAAATAAGCGGGACTTTTTTGTCCGTGCGTTAACATCGTACTATTATTTAGTACGTTATAAGTTAGTAAATTTAAGTGAATAAAGTGTAACGAATACTCAAACTGGCTAACTAAACTTGGCTGGGTGTTCGCTGGTTGGTATGCTATGATAAGAAGAAGACTATCGGATTGTTCACTTGGAAGTGAACTCGTTACTTGTATCAAAGATGTCAAACTAATATGATAAGATTGATAACTAAGTTGAGCACGAAGCTCCTATCTAATGGCAGACGTGCCAGTCTTATATAGAACCTTCGTTCTCTATGGATCATGTGGATCACCATGATCCATCTGATCCGGCTCACACTGGCTCATATGATCCTCCATGATCCAAGCGAGTCACGTGATGCTAAACCAAGCGTCCCTATTTGCTATAAGAGTACTGATAGTGCTTGACCTTTCAGGACGCCGCCTGGTCTTCTCTTATCACGTGAGCACGTGATTCGTGACACGGAGCTGGATTTCATTTGACAGGATTTCATTCGCTTGGCCAAGCACGTGACGAGACTTGGCATTGGAACAACTTAAATAACTTCGCTCCTTTCAGATTCTCTTCTCTCTTTAGTTTGATTTCTTCGTACCTACGGTTTTAGTTCTAGCAATTGATTCAAAAGCTGTATACACTTTATCCTTTGTTGGCATCCGTGACATTTAGGCAGCAGAGCTAAAAGTGGATCAAATCAGGAAGTGGAGCAAAAGAGAAAGTAGACCCAGCACAACAGTTTCTTATAGCAAATAGGGATGCTTAGACTGTGTGTGTCTATTTAACGTCTAGGCGGGCACGTACGCAAGTCACGTGCCCTTCAGTCCCCGTTGGGGCAAAAGACGCCTCGGGATGCTTAGACTAGCTAAGCGATCCAAGGATTTCTCGTGTATGTAGTCACGTGATCAATCGCATCGCTCGCATCGACAGTCGATGTTAGCGATAGGAGGTCGACTACATCGACAGGTGATGTAGGCGATGTAGAGAGAACGAAGGTTCTATATAAGACTGGCACGTCTGCCATTAGATAGGAGCTTCGTGCTCAACTTAGTTATCAATCTTACCATATTAGTTTGACATCTTTGATACAAGTAACGAGTTCACTTCCAAGTGAACAACCCGATAGTCTTCTTCTTATCATAGCATACCAACCAGCGAACACCCAGCCAAGTTTAGTTAGCCAGTTTGAGTATTCGTTACATATTCCTACTAACCAACGAAAATATATAAATAAGCGCTCTAAAAGTTATTCTAATACCTTAAAGGCATACTTAATCTTATACTTATTTTTAAAGGATAGTATATGAAACTCTAAGGATATATAAATACTAGTTAGGTAGATAATAAAAATACTAGCCGATTAATATTAGGATACTTATTGTTACGGAGTTGGAGGGACAAGGGGTAGATCACGTGTAGCACGGCACGTGCGTGTTGTGACAGACGTGCTTCAGGTAGAACTCAGAACAATTAACACTCTATTCTTAGGACAAAAGACGAGGAAAGAAGGAGAGCTCAAGAGAGCTGGGAACTAAATACAGGTCGTGCGCGCTAGCGCCTCGCTAAGCGAGCATGTGACATCCAGCCCTCGTGACCATAACCGTCACACGTGTTGCTCAAATCTTGTATATAAGCTTCCGTTCCTCTGGAACTCTCTTCTTCCCTTACTTTGTTATTCGCTCAATATAAATTAACACTCTATTCTTAGGACAAAAGACGAGGAAAGAAGGAGAGCTCGAGAGAGCTGGGAACTAAATACAGGTCGTGCGCGCTAGCGCCTCGCTAAGCGAGCATGTGACATCCAGCCCTCGTGACCATAACCGTCACACGTGTTGCTCAAATCTTGTATATAAGCTTCCGTTCCTCTGGAACTCTCTTCTTCCCTTACTTTGTTATTCGCTCAATATAGCAGTTTACACTTGACTCCGTATCTTATCACAGCAAGTAGTGGTTTACTCCACACGTTTACACTTATTTAATCTTAGAAGTAGAGCTATATTATAGAGCTTAAAACAATAAGCTACTATAGCTTTATTAACCTACGAAGCCGAGTTATTTACTTAAACTTTAGCTAGAAAAGAAGCTATTTAGCTTTAATAATTACTCTAGGAACTCGGTATTTAAATAAACAATAAACCTATACTTATATTCGCCGATAACTAAGGGGCTATTACGCTATCTAAAAACCTGTAACGAATACTCAAACTGGCTAACTAAACTTGGCTGGGTGTTCGCTGGTTGGTATGCTATGATAAGAAGAAGACTATCGGGTTGTTCACTTGGAAGTGAACTCGTTACTTGTATCAAAGATGTCAAACTAATATGATAAGATTGATAACTAAGTTGAGCACGAAGCTCCTATCTAATGGCAGACATGCCAGTCTTATATAGAACCTTCGTTCTCCAAATCCCAAATGTCGACAGCGCGCTCGTCGTGCTGTCGCGCGCGACAATTCGCTTGTCGCGCTGTCGTGCTTTTTTATCACGTGACTATGAATGCTATGAAATCCTTGGATACTCAACAACCCTGAGTAACCACTGCTATGATATAACTACTCTGGATGTATCTGTCCTGTCAGAACGCCGTTTGGACTAACTCGTCACATGCTAACACGTGATTCGTGACAAAACCCTTACTATACGCCCTAGACAAAACATATTAGAATCTAGTATTAACAGTGGTAGGAATAAGTAGAATTTAGTATAATTATATATAAATATATCCCTGTAAACTATATAGCTATTAAAGGTCTTATAAAAACTCTCCTGTAAGAAGGGTTATATAAATTTAGGGATATACTAGGATTAAGAATCTAGGAATAGCCTTACTTTTCGTAGTATAGATTAAGAGGGCTATTAAAGTTACGTAATCTATCCTACTATATTATGTCTACTTTGTTAAAGACTCTTTATTAGCTAGCTATGTATAAACTAGCTGTATCTATAGTAGACTCTTTGTTAGCTAGATACATATAAACTACCTGTATCTATAGTAGAATAATCAAGCACTTAACTAGCTTCTCATTTACTATATTTTATTAGCTTCCCTCCCTACCCTACGTGGCTCCTCCTCCTACCCCGCCCCTATAACGCTACTAACTATTCCGTATAGCCTTTATTTTCGAGGGTAGGTTGTAATTAGCTAGGGGTAGTTGGGGTATGGCGAGGTCGGGGGGTGTGGGGGGGGG